TGTTATTGCGATTCTATGAAAATTAAGCATCACAGAAACATTCTTATGAGATTGTTATGCTCAAACTTGTTGTTGTTTACTTTTTTCTGTAGCGATAAATGTAAGATATTGTTCTTCTAATAAGAGGTGACGTATTGACTTTGGCCACGGATTGACAGGCTCTTGGGGACCCAAAAAGCAATAGTTTCGATTATTGTGGGTTATCACTGCTCCTGGCAGTACCAAAGACTAATGATAAACGAAAATGTCACTAATGTGCACATGCCGGCTATCTTTGTCGCTTTTCCTTTCATAGAGACCTTTTTTCAAAATTGTTAGCTATTGTTAATGCAATGGCGCCGAGGCTCGGCTGACCTTCCTGGGCCATAATCCGCTTACCATAATACGTGGGACTGCATGTTGTCCCAATCGAATAAGTTCTTTAACCTTTCCCTCTCGTTCGTTTCTTTCGGGGTTGATTGTTTTTTGGCACACTGCCGACAAAATTGGAAATACCGGCTTGAATATCTCCTCTTGCCTGTAAGTCGTGCGAGCAAGTACTCACAAAATCTGTTTCGCATTCTCGAAGGATAGGTTCAGCAAGCGTACTGGACCTCCGGCTGATCACTATTCGTTTTTTTATGGCTGTGTCCCTCCCTACAGTGTTGGACTTTTTGGTTCGTTTCCTTTGCTTCGCGTGTCCCCAGTTCTTCGTTCATGAACTTCCAAAGGCCTATTTGCTGGCTTTTCACTTTGGCCCCTCCCACGTCGCGCATGCTCCGCCTACTCTGGGTGTGTCTCCCTAGAACCACTAATGAGCTCTTGACTTTGCCCCGCCTACGCCACACCCAGTGTGGCGTCACTTCTATCGGTAATCTTTTGTGCAGTTTTGCTTGGTTTTCGCGACCTCTGGAATGCACTGTAACTGATTTACGAATGTTTGATTTTGCCCTCGTCCACTATGGTTATGTCTCCCTATAGCGCATGCTCGGCTTGCTTTTCTTCGCACGCTGCCTGGAGTACTATGAGATTGAGTTATGTTTTACCCGAACCCACTCCTTGGAGGGCATTCATACAGCTATGATCATGCCTTTCTCATGTCTCCCTTGTTGTGGCTTACCAGGTCTCATCTCTCCCTTGTTGTGGCTTACCAGGTAAGTCAGGCCAGCCTGGTCATTTGCAATAAAGTGCACATCTCTGTATTCGCCTTCGAGACGGTGAACTCAAAACTATCTTCAAAATTTGCGGAACGATTCTCTGAGCGGAGTTATGGAGGTTTTTCTTTACTGTTTTTCTTCTTCGAGGCGCGCTGGCGCCGAAGCGTTGGCACCTGCAGCGCGACACAACGCTCTATGAGCAAAGCAAATACCATACTCGTGTTCAAGGAGTCAGATAACCTCTGTCAACGGCACTGTAGCGAAATCTTAGGTTCTGACTAAACTTCGAAAAAATGTTAGGTTAGTCATGGTGTCATGGCTGACTGGTAGCCAACAGCGATACGAATAGTCCACATTTTCCAACTCAGACAAAATATCAGATTTGGGTAGAAACTTGCCCCAGAGGTAGTCAGACTCGCCCCTTTTGACATGTGTTACGAGGGGCACAAGCACAAACACTCTTTCAGACTATAATGGGTCTACACTT